ATCTGCAACAATAACTGTATACTCAATACTTTTTTCTCAGTAACTGATAGAACCAGTAGACAGAAAATCAGCAAGAATATAGAACTAAACACCATCAACCAACTGTATGCAATTGAGATATACAAAACACTCCTGTAAAACAACAGAATATACATTCTTTTCTTTTTCTTTTTTTTTTTTTTTGAGACGGAGTCTCGCTCTGTCGCCCAGGCTGGAGTGCAGTGGCATGATCTTGGCTCACTGCAACCTCTGCCTCCCGCGTTCAAGGGATTCTCCTGCCTCAGGCTCCCAAGTAGCTGGGACTACAGGCATGTGCCACCACGCCTGGCTAATTTTGTATATACATTCTTTTCAAGTGCACATGGAACATTCACCAAGAAAGACCATGAGTCAGAAAACCAAATTTAACAAGTGTAAAAGACCTGAAATCATACAAAGTATAATATGTTCTCAGACCATAATGAATTTTTTATAGTAATAGATAACAGGAAAATCTCTAGGTACTTGAAAATTAAACATCATTCTTCTAAATAATATATTGGTCAAAAAGGAAGTCTCAAAGAAAATTAGAAAATACTTCAAACTGAACAAAAATGAAAATACAGCATATGAAAATTTGTGGGATGCAGCTAAAGAAGTGCTTAGAGGAGGCTGGATGTGGTGGCTCACACCTGTGATCCCAGCACTTTGGGAAGCCGAGGCAGGTGGATCACCTGAGATCAGGAGTTTGGGACCAGCCTGCCCAACATGGCGAAACCCTGTCTCCACTAAAAATACAGAAAAATTAGCTGGGCGTGGTGGTGGGCGCCTGTAGTCCCAACTACTCAGGAGGCTGAGGCAGGAGAATCTCTTGAACCCCGGAGGCAGAGGTTGCAGTGAGCTGAGATCGCACCACTACACTCCTGCCTAAGTGACAGAGCAAGACTCCATCTCAAAAAAAAAAAAAAAAAAAAAAAAATCACCATATGATCCAGTAATGTCACTCCTGGGTATATATCCAAAGGACCTGAAATTAGTATGTCAAGGAGATATCTACAATCCCATGTTTATTGCAGCATTATTCGCAACAGCCAAGTTATGGAATCAACCTCAGTTTCCATCAGTGGATGAACGGATAAAGAAAATGTGGCATATATACACAACGGAATATCATTCAGCCTTTAAAAAGAAGGAAGTTCAGGCCGGGAGCAGTGGCTCACGCCTGTAGTCCCAGCACGTAGGGAGGCCAAGGCAGGCAGATCACCTGAGGTCAGGAGTTCAAGACCAGTCTGGCCAACATGGTGAAACCCCATCTCTACTAAAAATAGAAAAATTAACTGGGTACGGTGGCAAGTGCCTGTAATCCCAGCTACTCAGGAGGCTGGGGCAGGAGAATCACTTGAACCTGGGAGGCGGAAGTTGCAGTGAGCCAAGCAGCCTGGGCGACAAAGCAAGACTCCATCTCAAAAAAAGAAAAAAAGAAAAAAGAAGGAAATTCTGCCGTTTGTAACAATGGATGAACCTGGGGAACATTATCCTAAGTAAAATAAGCCAGGCACAGAAAGATAAATACTGCATGTGCTCACTCATATGTAGAAGCTTAAGAAGTTCTCACAGAAGTAGAGTTGTTCTCATAGAAGAACAGTGGTTACTAGAGGCAGGGAAGGGTTGGGGAGTGGGTAGCCAAAGGTTGGTTAACAGATACATAAGTAGAGCTGGATAGGAGGAATAAGTTCTAGCATTCTACAGCACTGTAGGGTGACCATAATTAACGACAATTTAGTGTATATTTTCAAATAGCCAGAAGAGAGGCTTTTCAATGTTCTCAATACTAAGAAATAAATGTTTGAGATGGATATGCTAATTATCTTGATTTAATCATTACACATTGTAGACATTTACCAAAACATCCCCGTATATCCCATAAATACGTATAATTATTATGTGTCAATTTAAAATAATAAGGCTGGGCACAGTGGCTCACGCCTGTAATCCCAGCACTTTCGGAGGCCGAGGCAGGCAATCACCTGAGGTCAGCGGTTCGAGACCAGCCTGCCCAACATGGTGAAACCCCATCTCTACTAAAAATACAAAAATTAGCCAGGCATGGTGGTGCATGCCTGTAGTCCCAGCTACTCAGGAGGAAGGCAGGGGAATTGCTTGAACCTGGGAGCCGGAGGTTGCAGTGAGCCGAGATCACACCACTGCACTCCAGCCTGGGCGACAGAGTGAGACTCCATCTCAAAAAAAAATTTAAGGCCGGGAGCAGTGGCTCATGCCTGTAATCCCAGCACTTTGGGAGGCCGAGGCGGGTGGATCACGAGGTCAGGAGATCGAGACCATCCGGGCTAACACGGTGAAACCCCGTCTCTACTAAAAATACAAAAAATGAGCCGGGCGTGGTGGTGGGTGCCTGTAGTCCCAGCTACTCGGGAGGCTGAGGCAGGAGAATGGTGTGAACCCATGAGGCGGAGCTTGCAGCGAGCTGAGATCACACCACTGCACTCCAGCCTGGGTGACAGAGCGAGACTCTGTCTCAAAAAAATAAAATAGAATAAAAATTAAATAATAAAATAATAAAAGCAAAAAAAAATTATTAACAATTGGGGTTAGAACAATTGGAAATCCATATGCAAAATGAACCCTGACCTAATCCTCACACCTTACACAAAAATTAATGCAAAAGGGCCAGGCGCAGTGGCTCATGCCTGTAATCCCACCACTTTGGGAGGCCAAGGCGGGTGGATCACCTGAGGTCAGGAGTTCGAGACCAGCCTGGCCAACATGGTGAAACCCCGACTCTACTAAGAATATAAAAATTAGCCAGGTGTGGTGGTGCATGCCTGTAGTCCCAGCTACTCGGGAGGCTGAGGCAAGTGATTCTTATCACTTGAACCCAGGAGGTGGAGGTTGCAGTGAGCCGAGATGGCACCGCTGCACTCTAGCCTGGGCAATACAGTGAGACTCCATCTCAAAAAAAGAAAAAAAAAATTAATGCAAAAGGAATCATCTACCTAAATGTAAAATCTAAAACTATAAAATTATAGAATAGGAGAAAATCTTCATGACCTAGTGTTAGGCAAAGTTCTTAGACAGGACACCAAGGGCATGATCCATAAATAAATGATTCATAAATTGGAAATTTTCCAAATTAAAAAGTTTTGCTCTGCAAACAACAATGTACGAGAAGAAAAGGAGAAGCAATACACTTGGAGAAAGCATTTGCGAACCGTGTATCTGACAAAGGACCTGTATAAAGGATATATAAAGAACTCTCAAAACTCAACAGCAAGAAAATCCAGTTGAAAAATGGGCACAAACTTTTGAACAGACATTCATCAAGAGGATAGACCAAAAGTAAATAAGCATATATAAAGATGCTTAACATCTTTAATCATTAAGGAAATGCAAATTAAAATCATTATGAGATAAACGACTACATAAAAAATACTGACACTACCAAGTACTGACAAAAATATGAAACAATTGGAACTCATACATTGCTGGGAGAAATGAAAAATGGTTCAACCGCTCTAGAAAATAATTTGGCAGATTCCTAAAAAGTTAAACATACACTTACCATATGACCCAGTAATCCAATATTTACTCCGCAGAAATGAAAACTTATGTTCACACAAAGCCCTGTGCATGATTGTTTAAAGTAGCTCTACTCATAATTGCCAAAAACTGGAAATAACCCAAATGTCTTTCAACAGGAGAATGGATAAATACACTGGGGAACATTTACACCGTGGACTACTATTCAGCAATAACAAAGAAACAACTACTGACACACACAACTTTGATGAATCTCCAGGGAATTGTGCTGAGTGGAAACAAACAAACAAACATAAAAAAATCCCAAAAGGTCACATACCATACGATCCATTTCTATTACATTCTTGAAATGACAAAATTCCCAAAACGGAAAACAGATTTGTAGCTGCCAAGAGTTTAGGAATGGGTATGGTGGAGGAAGGGTAGTGGCTAAGGGAGTAAGGGACAACTTGAGGGATTCTTGCGATGATGGGGCTTGACCATATCAGTGTCAACATCCTGACTTTGATATTGTACTATGGTTTTTGCAGGATGTTATCATTGGGGGAATCTAGGAAAAGAGTACACAGGATTTCTCTGTATTATTCTTTCAATTGCATGTAAATCAATCATCTCAGAAAGAAAAGGTTACATAATACATGACACCCCACTTATATGACATTCTTGAAAAGACAAAACTATAGTGACACAGAACAGACCTGCCACTGCCTGAGGTTACAGGTTGGGGAAGATATGACTATTAACAGAGTAGCATGAAGGAGTTTTTTGGGGTGATGAAACTATTATCTGTCCTATAGATTAGTTACACCAATCTAACAGAAAAATCAATTTCACTGTGTTAATTTAAAAAATAAAAATGTTTAAAGTGAAAGAAAAAATATGGTGGGTTGCAGGTATCTGAAAAATTTTTGTCTCTTGGACAGAAGATAATTCAAAGTCCAACTAAGAAAACTGCTTCAGGAAAATCATTGGAAAGACAAGCAGGTTCCCTAAGAGATTTCATTCCCAAGTTACATTTTGATGTGATATCTCCAGCTCACTGAGGAAAGCTGTAGGACATATCTGCAGGAAAGCATTTGTCACCAGGCTGTGGTTGAGGGCAGCTGCACTATCCACATGAAGACCCAGCAAAGAAATACCTTTAAACACGATTCCAGGCAACCTTGACTTCCCATGAAGGCTGTGTGCTCTCTCCTGATGAGTAAGGTGAGCCAAGGTACTGTTTATGTTTCCTTTGGCTACCAGAAGGCTCAAAGAGAAACTGACAGCCCAACATCAATATCTGTTACACCCTGAGTCCTGCACACCTCTACATTCTAACTTGGCCTTGATCTGTTGTCTCTTATTTTGTCTAATCCTAATCCTTATTTACAAATACTTTCCTATTTTATGGCAGGGATTTCCACATATTTCGCTACATCCACAGTAAAATAGAGGAATGAAGAAACAGACAACATACTTACCTGGGGTTTGGCCATTTCCTGCTCTTCTTGGGAAAAAGCAGATATGTGTAACGGCTGAGCTGGAACAAGTGGAGAAGAGTAGAGCAGATGAGGAGACCCCATCAGACTTTCAGTGCCCAGAACTAGCTGCCTAGCAATCCCCTCACATCAGCTGGCCATCAGACTGCTCTCTGGAAGAGTCTGGGCAACCATGGGATTTTAACAATCTATGTATTATTCACTCTTCATGCGAACATTGAACACAAAAGGTTTTATATACACATATCTTAAATTGTGTACTGACCTATAAAGTGTATTTCTAGGTATTTTCCTTAAGGAAATAATTTATCATAATGTATCATAATTTCTCTGTACGTACCCACGTCTCAGCATTGATTTTAATAATGCCAAACTTAAACGATCCTCTATGACACATAAGGGATTAATAATAACAAAATATAAAAGATAAAATGCTACAAAGCTGTTAAAAGCGTTATATGGAATTGTACAGTATCTATGCACGTTGTGGTACATATATCTCAACTAAACGTTTTTTAAAGGTGTACAAAAAAATCTTAAGCTGAATTACATTAAACTTTTATATGAAAACAAAGTAGGTTTTAAAACTGTGGGAATCCATTTTAAAGCTATATGTTAAATGTTTAAAAGGCATACCCCTATACACACCAAAAATGTCTAAAAATGGACATTTAAATGCGTGGGGGAAGAATTAGTTCCTTTTGATTTTCTTTTCCTCTATTTCTGAATTAATCTATACTTCAAATGTTATTTATTAAATGCCAAAAAAACCACACTCTAAAACTATTGTCCCAATTACATTTTACCCCCATCTCCCTCAGACCCCGCACCTACCCCTCCTCCCAGGTCCCCAACTCTGGGCGAGGCCCGGGGTCAGGTGAGACCTCGCAGGTGCCTCTCCTTCCTTCTGCTCACCTCACCGGGGCCGCCTTGCCCAGGAGCCGGAAAGAGGCCTTCGGGTGCGGGGGTGCAGGTTCACTTCGGCCGGAGCATTCACACCAGGTCCCCACCTCGGGGCTTGGGCAAGGGGATAGAGCAGAGGGAGGAGCAGGGCGCGTCTAAAGAGGGGCCTGAGGGATGGGCATGAACCCTTAGGGGCAGGTCACTGTGCTGGAAAATGTGTAAAAGTCAAAGTTTAATAAGCCCCATTCAATCCTGCTTAGCCCCCATAACTTTGTTCACCAGCGAGCCCCTAGAACCTCGTCCACTGACCTCTCGGTCCCCCATCACTCAACCCCCAGCTCCCTCTTTACTCATCCCGCAGAACTCCCCATCACTCGGCCCACGACCCCTAGCACTTGCCCCCTCAACCTCACTCTCTCTGGATAACAGATTTTCTGCTCGCTGCTCAGGAGACCGTTACAAAGCCCGGCCCCAACAAGCACTTCCGCTTCGGGACCGACTCTTTGGCACCGCAGCCTAAAGGGCTGCAGCGGTCGGTTCTGCGCACGCTCAGTGGCGCCTTTGAGACCCCGTCCGCCAATAGTCAACATGGGGCCGCAGCGCAGGCGCAGAGGGAAGGTAGTCTTGCCGGTGACGTCACTCCTCCAGGGGAGAGGGACGCGGTCCGTGTCTTTTTGCTTCTGGGGCTGCGTCGCAGAGCGGGTGTTTACTTAGTTCTGCAGAGGCCGGTACTCCTAAGACTTCAGACACCAATTTTCTTACGGCAAGGCGGGGAGAGGAAGTGCCCAACTAAGGAAACGATTCTAGCAGGCGGCAGTTTCGCACTTTGAACTTTGAGGGCAGCAACAGGGTTGCAGGTGTAAAAGAACGGGGCGGCGGGGTCTGTGGCTAAATTGCTCTGCGTGCACAAAGAGTAGGAGGTAGGGAAAAGCCACTGGCTTCATCCAGTGGCCAGGACTGGGAGTTTACGTTGTAGCATTTGAAGGACGGTAGGTCGGTATGCAGACAAGCTGAAAAATAAACGGCGATATGGGACACACACACCAGGGGTGAAGGGGTGTATTAAGTGGTGGCTAACAGGTTGCTTTTTCTGGATGAGTAGACAGTATCAGTGTGTTGGGAGTGTAGGAGGTGTAGGCTGGGGCCAGGTGCTGTAGGGCCTCCTTGGCCAGGGAGCTCATATTTCATTCTGGACATATAGGAAACCATAAAAAGGATCCGATTTGTAAAGACCAGTCTGAAGCAATCTAACATTATATAGTAACGTTAAAAATACACATATATTGGGCTGGGTGAGGTGGCACGTGCCTGTAATCTCAGCACTTTGGGAGGCCGAGGTAGGCGGATCACCTGAGGTCAGGAGTTCAAGACCAGCCTGGCCAACATGGTGAAACCCCGTCTCTACTAAAAATACCAAAAATTAGCCGGGCTTGGTAGCGCGCCTGTGATCCCATCTACTCGGGAGGCTGAGGCAGGAGAATCACTTGAACTTGGGAGGAAGAGGTTGCAGTGAGCCATGATCACACCACTGCACTCCAGCCTGGGCAACACAGTGAGACTCCATCTCAAAAACAAAAAAACAACAACAAAAAGAAATGGAGCTTCCCAGCAGACAAGACAAAGAAAGAAAGTAAAAAAGGAACTCACATCTCTTGCTCCCTGACACAGCAGCACCTCCTGGGTATACAAGTTATCCACTCTCTCAATGCATTAGGAGGTAGAAAATAGAAAGGGCTGGTCCTTTAGGGCTCATCACAGTGTCGCCCCTTCTAGCACCTAAACGTCATCTCCAACCACCTTGTACACACACACCTACACAAAGGAGGAAATCCTTTAGGGTTGGTGGGAGTTAGGGGGCAGAGGAGCCAGTGATACAGGCCCTCAGAAACTATCCCAGGGCCCACGGTGTGCATGCACAAGCTATGTGAGGCTAACTTTGCTGCTGCAGAGCGAGGACCCCCACTGTCTGTCCTGGGTAACCTCTACCATCAGTCCCTACAGGTATGACCTCCTCATACAGTAACCTAAGCAGCAGGTAGCTAGGTGAAGGAGAGTGAGAAGCTGACAGGTGGCTGGTCCCACCACAGAGTCTGCATGATATGACATTCCCATTGAAAGACAATGAGAGAAGCCCCCACGTGGCTGGCGAGTTATCATTACAATTGCTCTTAAGATACATTTTATCAAGACCACAAAAGCCTTGCCAATTGTGAGCAGTCATTTTGGACCAGAGGCAGCAGGTGAGGTTGACAGAACAACAGCACAAAAGGAGCCAGGTCTCTGGTGACCTTGGAGCCACCACACTAGGCCTGGATTACCTGCCTCCAAAAGAGGAGTCTGCTTCCCTCCTCTTGAAGCCACTGGTGTTTGTGGTGGGATTGGTGCGTGCAGCCAAATCAAATCCTGTGCAATCCATCAGACTTTTCTGTGTTGGCCAATGTGAGTGTCAGCGAACAGGAGACACATGGGACTGGTGGGTGAGGAGCATGAATAATGGTGACTGAAGGGCAAATTGGGAGTAAATGAGAGCAAGGAGAGGCAAAGGGCAATGGAATGGAGGTGAATGAACACCAGAGTGGAGTGGATGTGGGCCAAAGTGAGGGAATGACTATGCATGCATCAATTATGAATGAATATGAGATTATGATGAGATTAAGTAAATGCTGGGAAATAAGGCACAGTCTCAGTGGAAAAAAGGTGAAAGTGGGAACAGACTCTGAATGGGGCAACTGAAGAGGGTGAATGTGAGTGGAGTTTATATGAGTACTAAGGATTAGAGTGTGAATGAATGGTGGTTTTATGAGGCACAAGATGAATGAAGAGAGGGGAATTTAGGGAGACAATAGGAGTGAATGTGGGTAATGTGGGATGGAAAGGGAAGAATGGGGTGCGGGAAGGACAGAATAAAAGAGTGGAGATGGAGACATGGTAGAATGTGAAGCAGGCCGAGTTTGAGTGCGGGTGCTATGAGGGAGAAGGGTGACTAGAGATGACTGGGATTAGATGGGCGTAATACAGGGTAGTAGCCCAGGAACGTGGGTGTACAGGGATCCCAGTGGGAATCGGCAAATATGAATGAGCTGAAGAGTGCGCATGAATGGAGGTGATGTTGGGCAGAGTGAGAGGGAATGAAAGTGAAGAGCAGAGGATGGGTGAAGGTGGGTATTGCGAGGCAGAGAGTGGAACTCACCTTTACTTGGGTGAGTAAAGCGAGGAAACATGGGGAGCCCGATGTGAGCAAAAGTAACAAATTTGAGGCACAGTGTGACAGAATGTGGGTACTGGGAGGCAGAATATGAGCAAAAAGAGGGTGATAGGGATTACAATGGGAATAGATTTAAATGAATGAGGCAGTGAGAGGCAGAGTAAGAGTAAATGGAGGCAATGAAGAGAAAACTGAGAAAGAACAGTGACCAAACGTAGGCTAAGTATATGTGGGTAACTTCACCTAGTGTTTGGGAGTAATAGGGACAGAGCTCCAGGAAATGGGGGTGTTCCTGGGACAGCATCTGAGAGAATAGAGGTGAAGGAGGGGCAGAAAGGGAATGAATGGGGGAAATAATGAGGCCCCGGGTCAATGAAAGAAGCTGAAGGCTGGGCCACGTGCGAGTAAGCCAGAGTCATTTGATGCAGGGGTGGGAAATAGAGATAAATATAGGAAAGGAAATGAGTCTGAGCGAGAGTGAGTGGGGTGAAGAAGGAATATGACATGAGAGAATTTGGGTAATGCTAAGTAGACTGTGGGGAATTGTGATAATATGAGGCCCAGTATGGGTGAATATAAGTGGCTGAAAGGCAGTGTAAGTGAATGGAGGAACAAAAGGCAGAATGAGAATGAAGTTGAAAAAGCAGGCATAAGAATGTATATGTAATATGCCATTTGTAATATGAAACGTGGGGCACATTCCAGTAAATTAGGATGGAACAGCACTTTAAGTGCAGAGAGGTGAACCAAGGATGAGTGCTATGGTTTGAATATGTCCCTTCCAAAATTCAGATGTCAGAAACTTAATCTCCAATGCAACAGTGTTGGGAGGTAGGGCCTTTAATCCCCAATGCAACAGTGTTGGGAGGTGTTTAGGCTTCTGTGCTCTGTGTTCTAGAATCTACCACTTAGACCTTTGCTCATAGAGCCCAGAGTTCCAGAATGCCCCTAATTCCGAACACCACAGGGTGAGTCTGGAGCAAGTCACCTGGGAGGGCTTACAGGTGCCATAATGCAGGCCTGGGGCACTGTGGTAGTGACCTTGGCCACACTGATGGTTGTCACTGTGGATGCCAAGATCTATGAACGCTGCGAGCTGGCGGCAAGACTGGAGAGAGCAGGGCTGAACGGCTACAAGGGCTACGGCATTGGAGACTGTGAGAATCCCAGTTGCCCCTGAGCCACCCACCACATTCAGACCCAGACCCCCCTTGTCCTTTATCACCTCTCCAGGCCAGGGCATGAGCCCTTGAGTCACTCCCTGACTGACTATGCTGAGTAGTTTAACTAACTCTAACACCACCACCATTATGGCCTTCACAACCATCACCTCCATCTCTGCCATCAACACTATCACTATAATCAATATCACTGCTGTTACCATCATGAATACCATCGCTACCACCATCACTGACGTCTCACCAGAATCACCAACATCACCACCACTAAACCAAGATCACCACCCTCACAACTGAGATGACAACCATCCCTGTCCTCCCCCCATCCTATCCTTCCCTATTCCCAGGCTCTATACCTACTCCTTGCCTCCCTTCTCACTGCCCCAGGGCTGTGCATGGCTCATTATGAGAGTGGCTTTGACACCGCCTTCGTGGACCACAATCCTGATGGCAGCAGTGAATATGGCATTTTCCAACTGAATTCTGCCTGGTGGTGTGACAATGGCATTACACCCACCAAGAACCTCTGCCACATGGATTGTCATGGTAAGTCAGCACTGGGGACACACTGAAGCCCTGCTGGGCCCTACTCTCCCACACTTGGAGGGCAAGGTTGTTTAAGCCATAATCTCCTGCAACAAGAGAAAAGTGATGGGAAAAGGAGAAAAGTTGCCTGAGCAACTTTTGGTTGTTTAGGACAGAAGAGCTCAGAGCTCAGAGCTCCCCGTCCTCACCCAGAAAGGACACTGCAGTTTTCTTAGACTCAGGAAACAGGAAACTTACCTCCATGTGGAATAGAGATAGAGACTGTCCTGATTTGGGGTTGAAGTTACCCAGGCCCCAAGGAAAGAAGCAAATGTCTGATTCTAGAAACAGAAACAGATAACCTCCATGCAGAAATGACAGAACTTTCCAGATAAGACTGGTGTTGTTGAGGACAAAATAGAATAGCAGTTAAAGTTGTTCAGTGTTGGCCAAAATGGTGGTTGAGGTTGTCCAAGACAGGAAAAAATGGAGACTGAGGTTATTTGGGGCCAGCCCAAATGGAAATTGAGGTTGTCCAGGACCAGATAGTATGGGGGTTGGGATTATTCATAACTAGCCAACATGACCATCCAGATAATCCAGGATCAGTCAACATGAGTTAAGGTTGTACAGAACCAGCTAACATGGTGATTAAGATCATTTATAACCAACTGACAAGAGAATCAAGGTCATCCAGAATCAGCCAACATAGTGGTTGAGGTTCTTCAGGCCCCAAAGAACCCAAAACCCCTGGGCCCTCCATTCACTGTTACCCTATCCCCAATGCACTAGATCAGCATGTCCCTCTCTTCCCCCTCAGACCTGCTCAATCGCCATATTCTGGATGACATCATGTGTGCCAAGCAGATTGTGTCCTCACAGAATGGGCTGTCTGCCTGGTAAGTTCATGGGGATGACCCGGACTGTGGGCAGCCAGGGATAGTGTCACTGCCACCCCATCAACCTGTCCACTTCATGCTCTCTCTTTTCCTTCATTTCCCAGGACTTCTTGGAGGCGGCACTGTTCTGGCCATGATTTATCTGAATGGCTCAAGGGGTGTGATATGAACGTGAAAATTGATCCGAAAATTCATCCATGACTCAGATTCGAAGAGACAGATTTTATTTTCCTTTCATTTCTTTCTCTTGTGCATTTAATAAAGGATGGTATTGGTAAACAATGCAAAAAATGCTGTGATGTCTGACTCTCTTCATTTATTCAATGCCCAGAAGTACCCTTCCGTCACAGTATTCTGTCACTTCCTCCATATATTCAAAGCTCTAATTAAGAAATACCAGATCACTCAGGGTGGGGAAGGAAGGGAGGATAGTGTTGTGAATCAAGAGCATGTGTTCTCCTGGGTTCAAAAACCATCTCTACCACCTACTAGCTGTGTTGCCTTGGAAGAGATACTTAATTTCTCTGTGCCTCAGTTTCCTCATCTGTTAAATAAGGATGATAATAATAGTAACTACTTGATGGGGTTATTGGGAGGATTAAATGAATTAATATTTGTAAAACGCATAAAGTGCTTGGTACATAAGACAGTTATAGGTTTGGAGATAGAGGAGTGGGATGGGAGAGATGAAAATTGGCTTCCCTTAAAAAGAATCAGTCTCAGCAGGGTGCGGTGGCTCACGCCTGTAATCCCAGTACTTTGGAAGGCCAAGCCAGGCGGATCATGAGGTCAGGAGTTCGAGACCAGCCTGGCAAATATGGTGAAACCCCATCTCTACTAAAAATACAAAAAAAATTTAGCCGGGTGTGGTGACACGGACCCGTAGTCCCAGCTACTCAGGAGGCTGAGGCAGAAGAATTGCTTGAACCCAGGAGGCGGAGGTTGCAGTGAGCCGAGATCATGCCACTGCACTCCAACCAGGGTAACAGAGCGAGACTCTGTCTCAAAAAAAAAAAAAAAAAAAAAAAAAAAAAAAATCACTCTCAGTTCAGGTCACTACAGGGTCTTTATTTAAGGCAGATACAGTCTCTTCAGGGGAGAATGAATCCAAAAGGATTGTGCTTACACAGGAAGCTCAGTGGGAATTAGGAGTTAAAGGTACATTTTCCTGCATCCTCCCACACAACACCATTCTTCCAGCCCCCCAGGCCCTCTTTCATGATCAAAGCCTGAAGTTTCAAATGACAGAGCGGGAATGTAGGCAAAACATTCAATGGACATGCATGGTAATAATTTCTTCTTACAGAATGCCTGAGTTTCACTTTGTGTCTTGAGCAGAGAATTTAGGAATTTCAATTTGCCATTCTTTGCAACGGCCAGCACCTTTGGAAGCAGCCACTCCCATAAGGAAGCAATCCCTCATGTTCTTTGTACTCTGGTTGGGGTGGATACTCAAGTACCTGAGGCCTTGAAGTGTTCACTTCAACCAAGATAATCACAGATGATCATGAAAACAGCTAGCTGTCACTGCATGCCAAGGAATGCCAGAGTCCCCTTCCTTAATGCCAACTGGATTTCCCCTGCCTTGTGCCCCAACGAGCCTAGGTAATCAAATCTCACATCTCCCTATGGGTCCATAAAGGGTGCCAACGCTTTGGATACTGATTTCTTGTTTTTTTTCTTCTTTTCTTTCTTTCTTTTTTTTCTTTTTCTTTTTTTTTTTTTGAAATGGAATCTTGCTCTGTTACCCAGGCTGGAGTGCAGTGGCTCATTGCAATCTCCACCTCCCGGGTTTAAGCGATTCTCCTGCCTCAGCTTCCTGAGTAGCTGGGATTACAGGCACCCACTACCACACCCAGGTAATTTTTGTATTTTTAGTAGAGACGGCGTTTCACCATGTTGGGCAGGCTGGTCTTGAACTTCTGACCTCAGGTGATCCACCCGCCTCAGCCTCTCAAAGTGCTGGGATTACACGGCCTAAAGTATATTTTTAATTGCTGTTCTTTAGTGGCTATCTTTAAATCTGTAGCTACCTATCATTTGATAAACCCTTTTGTTCTTGTATTGCACTTATTCTCCATTATGACAAAACAGCGATTCTTAATAATAGTAGATTTTATTAATTTTTCTGTGAGAGTTTGGTATTAAATCTGGAGACATTTTTCCTGAGTATCATTTCCAAGGACTATGCTTATTTAATTAATTAAATTGGGTTTCCCTTAATACCTGCGGCTAGATTTATGGTGAGGTTTGGCTTCCAACTGACAGCCCTCATATCTTCAAGGCCTCAAGATGTGCCTCTCTAGCTGGTCATCAGCTTGCCAGGCTTCTAGAAAGAATAATAATAATCCACACTCTAGCCTGTGAATACAACTTTGTCAGAAGCAGGTCTCTGGTGGGACTGACTTTTCTTTCAAGCCTATATACCAGTCAGAAAGAAATTCCAAGTACATTTCTTTCCTACACTCTGAGCTTGAGAAAAAACAAACAAACAAACAAAAAAACCCCAAGTTGCTGTAATAGAAATTGGAATGGGAAAGTGATGATAAATATAAGCGAATTTTATTGTTTAAGAAAAATACTTTAAAACTGGGGAGAGGCTAGGCACGGTGGCTCATGCCTCTAAGCACTTTGGGAGGCCAAGGCGGGTGAATCACTTGAAGTCAGGAGTTTGAGACCAGCCTGGCCAACATGACAAAAACCCGTCTCTACTAATAACACAAACACACACACACGCGCGCACGCGCGCACACACACACACACACACAAATAGTCATGCGTGGTGGCATGCACCTGTAATTCCAGGTACACAGGAGGCTGAGGCATGAGAATCACTTTAACCCAAGAGGTGGAGGTTGCAGGGATCTGAGATTATGCCACTACACTCCAGCCTGGGCGACAGAGTGAAATTGTGCTTCAAAAATACATAAATAAATAAAACTAAAATAAGGGAGAGAAGGTAAAAATAGGTTTAGGGAGCCATGAGCAGGGGAAAGGGAGATTAGAAGGATACCACATCCAGGATTTGTGGGGAGAAGGACTCAAACAGAACGCAAAGAGCCTTTTAGGAAAGCTGGAAGCAATTGAGGTGAACAAGAGAATAAGCAGAAGGACGACGCCAGATTGTGGTGAGGCTAGCTCTTCATCATCTCACTCCAACATTACTGTGAGACAATAGCTCACAAAACTAACAATTTGCAGTTAGCAATATCCTTTAAGAAGATATTTCTGAGCTTTCAAAGATGTCCAGCCCTCACTGACCCACCGCAGTATCCTTCTCATCACTTCCCTTCTTTCTTTCTTTTCTCTCTCTCTTTCTTTCTTTCTTCCTCGCTCTCTCTCTCTCTTTTTTTCTTTCTTTCTTTCTGACAAGGTTTCATTCTGTCACCTAGGCTGGAGTGCAGAGGTGCGATCTCAGCTCACTGCAACCTCCGCCTCCTGGGTTCAAGCGATTCTTGTGCCTCACCCTCCCAGGAAGCTGGGACTACAGGTGTGGCCACCACACCCAGCTAATTTTTGTATTTTTAGTAGAGAAGGGGTTTCACCATGTTGGCCTAGCTGGTCTCAAACTCCTGACCTCAAGTGATTCGCCTGTCTCAGCTTTCCGAAGTGCTAGGATTATAGGCGTGAGCCACTGTGCCTGGCCTGCTCATTTCTTTCTTATCTGTACAACTCAAACTTGGGACTTCTCTGTCTGTGATCCAAAGTCCTCCCTCCTCCAAAGAGGCAATCACATCTGGTTTGGTCACAGGATACCCTGTAACAGAAAATGATACAAGACTTGGGCACGTCTGTGTGGGCTTTGGGATCTCAAAAAGTTAGAAAGGTACATATTCACGAGGGTAAATTTCACATGGGAGATGAAAATAGAAACACATTGTTCAGTCTAGGAGGGATTAAGAATCTTTAATCCCTAGAACCTGAGGTCAAAATATTGAAGCACTTCAGAGATGGAAGGTTATTCTACTAGATATACCATGAATTACTCAGGGAAAGCCATCCTCACCCACAGAGACCAAATGGCTAAAGTTCCATAGTATCACATCTCTATATCTCTCTATAGTTCTCTAGCATCACAGGGTCCTCTGAGGAGGACCGGTCAATTCCACTGCTCCTGGGTGAAATCCACAGCCACATTGTCAAATGACATAATCCCTGTAATTGAATGCTTCTATTCAATAGGTTGGATAAAAATCAAAATGACAATACTTTCAAAAATAAAGAACATATTCTTCAGAGAGAATATTTCATTTCAAAAAGGACTTTTTCATTTGAAATGAAATATTTCATTTCAAAAAGGGCTTTTCTGAGATATTTGCAATACCTATCTATAGCAAAGGACTTTTATACTATAGAAACTATAAAGAACTCCTACAAATAATAAGATAAATATAGATAGATAATCCAATAGAAAAACCAGAAAAAAAGATTTGAACAGGTAATTCACAAAAGAGAATATCCAAATGGCCAATACATATGTAAAAAGGTGCTCACCATCACTAGTCATCAGAGAAAGGCAAACTTAAACCACAATGAGATACCACTATATGCCAACAGAAAACTAAAATTAAGACCAACAATCTTCAGCTTTCCTGAAACGCTTTTTGAATCAATCCTTCCTTCCTTCCTTCCTTCCTTCCTTCCTTCCTTCCTTCCTTCC